AATCAGTTTTTCAAACTTTTGATTGATTCTTTGTAGATTTTACATACATTATGCATCCTGATCCCACTCATCTCCCTGCCCCCCTATCTTCTGCTTCTGCCCTTGCAACCTCCCCCGACAAAACAAAATTTAAAAGTAAAACCAATCAAACACACAAACAAATAAAAACAAATAACAAAAATCTTGGTGTGGAAGCTATAGTGTGGCCCAGTGAGTCATACAGTATTCCTTTTAGTCCATACATCTTTAGTTGTACATTTCATTGAGGTGAGTCCTCTGGCTTCTGCTACATACTGAGCCCTCACTGGGGCTCCTCTTGGATATCCTACTATTGCCTTGTGTTATGGAAATCCTGTAGTTTTGGATCTGCAGGTCTGGCCCGTTTACATGCTCCAGCAGCTCATAGATGAAGTGGATGTTGGGGTGGGCTACCTTGCAGCCCTGGTTCTGGGCTTGGGTGGTAGCTGGGTTGGTCAGCCTGCCAGGTTTCCCTCACCCTTACCAGCAGGGTGAGCTCTCCAGCACTGCCCAGGTTAGCTCTCACAATGCAGCAGGCAGCAAGGCGTGGGGACCAGTTCTCCTGCTCTCAGGCCCTTGGGTCCAGTTCACACTCACACCACCAGGGCCAGCTCAACTGTTTTGTCCAGGCAAGGTGCAAGGCCTGCTCTCCAGAGTGCTGCACTTGGTGAGGGGGCTCTTCCATTCTCATGCCCCTGTGGCCAGCTCTCCTACCTGTTACAGGTGGCAAGGGATGGGCATATTTCCCTTACCCTTGCCACCCTATGGCATATAAAGGAGGGGGCAGGGGCAGCCCTCCTGATCTCATGTCCACAGGCTCAGCTCACCTGCACCCCTGCTAACAGAGTCAGCTCTAGTGTATTGCCCAGGAGAGGTGCAGGGCCCTCTCTCCCATGTGCTGCAGCTGGTAAGGGGCAGGACCAGCTCTCACTCTGGTGGCCTCAGAGCCAGCTCTCACAAGGAATCATTTTACTGAGGTCATCAAACTCTCTGTAGTTACCACATTTACAACATCTTTTTACCTCTGATCCAAATACCACTATTTACAGAAAAACCCTATTATTCTATAACATCTTCAGGAATTACCTAAATGCTGTGACTAGCTCTTCAACCACCCGAGTATCAAGTAAGCATGTTTTAAATCCCCTTTTCTGTAGCTAGTGAAGATCTACAGACCATTCCAGAAATGGGGAAGTGTAGTTTCTCCCAAAGTTCCCAGGAAGCTGAAATGTATGTGCTCAGGATGGAAGGGAAATTACAAAGCCTGAAACTGATGATTTCTGCCCTGAGTCAAAGAAGCTCAGAACTGCCCAGAAAGCAAAAAAAAGAAGAAAAAGAAGGAGGAGGAGGAGGAGGAGGACGAAGAGGAGGAGGAGGAGGAGGAGAAAGAAAAAGAAAGCAAACAACAACAAAAATGTAAAAATAAACAAACAATGAGTATTATTAAGAGACATTGCTCATAGAATAAAAAACGGTGACCCAAGCTGGAAAAACTAAGACAAACAGAGAAAAAAAACAAAACACAGATTTTATAGTTGGATGAAAGAAAGGTGAAATACAGAGTAAATACAGGCTTGTACGCTTTTTGTAAAGTTCAACTTCATATGGGTCAATGCTGGCTCTGTGAATACTCTATGACTGCAGCAGTACTTTAGCACTCTGAAGTTTATCTTTATTTTCTTCACTAGAACCCAAGTATTAGCTCACTGAAACCTCAGACCAGCCTGGGGGCCAGATGGATGTGCAAGTGAAGATAATGTCCTTTCACTTGTGAAAGAGTTTAAAGGCTGTTGAAGTTGGCGATAATGGCTTATAGAAATTGTGTGTAATGTTGCATTAACTTGTAATTATCATCATTATTAAACTCACAGCCAAACACTCAGGGTGCACTCTATGGGGCACAGTAACTGCATGAAGGGCATCACCTGTGCCCTCTAGGAGCATGCCTGGTAACTTCAAAAGCAGAGATTTAACACTCAGGACACAGGGAAAAATTGGACTGTACTATGCAGCTTAGAACTATGCAGCTTAGAAATGAGGAGAAATGGCTAAACATAAATTTTGAAACTAAGTCTTAAAAAAATAGGAGACTTTTAAAGTTTGAAAACAAGCAAACAGGAAATACAAGAGAAATCCGAGTGTTAACTAGAAAATTCCCTTTATTGTTGAACTATGATTTAACATCCAGAAGTTACCTAAGAAGCTCATTTCCTCATCCTGGACAGTAATGATCAGACTGACATTTCTAGTTTTGGCAAAGTGTCAGCATTAAGAGACAGGCAGATAAATCAGATGACTGTCTCTTCACCTTGTTTTTAAGCATGCTGGCCCTTGCCTCTCCCTCTGTTTGCTCTGCTTCTGAAAATATGATTAATGCTCATGCATTAGCACAACTCTGCATTGTAAGCAAGGCCAGAGCTCCTTCCCAGCGAGGTTGAGGTATGGAGTTAATGAGAAGTGGGGCTGTGGGGGAATGAACAGGAACATGCCAATGCTGAAGTAATTGAGTGTGAATATCAAACACTGACTCGGGAACGGTCTTCATTTGTGGAAGGAAGGTCTGATCAGCTGGTGGGCAGATGGGACTCACACAAATCTGCTTTCCAGCCAATCCCAGAATTTGCATTCACAACAGTCTTGGTTCACTCATGCCATTTCTAACTTCCTTTCTCTTTCTTCCCCTTTCCTTGTCTTCCTTTTGCCTCTCTTTCCTAAAACATTTTTTATTATATTTTGAGAACTTTATACAGGAGTACTTTTTTTACATAATGTCCTCCCCATACTCTCCCTCCCTTACTTCAGGTCTCTCTTGCCCTGTTCCATCATTCTTCTTTAAATATGGGCACACACACACACACACACACACACACACACACACACACACACGGGTAGGGGGTACTATCAGGGGTCATGTCCTAAGAGAAGACTGATTCCACTCTTTAAAATTTTATTTTATTTTATTTATTTTTAATTTATAGATATATTTATCCAAATGTATGTGTGTGCGTGAGGGCATCATGGGCATCACAGATTGTTGTGAGCTGCCACATGAGTGTTGGGCATTAAACTGGGTCCCCTGGAAGAGCAGACAGTGCTCTTAACTACTGAGCCATTTCTCCACCCCCCCCCCACCTCTTTTAGTAGCCATTACTTGTCTGTAGCTATTCATCTAATGTTTCCCGTGCATTAAAAAATTATCCCATCTTTCCTCCAGCCTTAAAAGGAATTTACTTTATGATCACAGCCATGGCAGTTTCTTTAAAAGAAAATACGCATGATTTGACTGCATCCGTTTAGAATAATACACATACTGAGACTATAGCTAGAATTACTAATGCTACAACTTTTCCTTTAAAATCTCTTTACTGAATTCTAAAACTTGTGGATCCTTTAATCAGTAACTACTGAAATTCATTACTGTGTGATTCCATCACCCCACTTAGATCTTTTATATGGTTTTTTTTTTTTTTTTTTAATTTATTTTAATTTATTTTGCAATACAATTCAGTTCTACATATTGGTCACGGATTCCCTTGTTCTCCCCCCTCCCGTCCCCCTCACCTTCCCCCCAACGCCCCCCCCATTTGTGTTGTTTCTTTTTTTTTTTTTTTTTTTTTCCCCTTTTCTATTTTAATAAAAAGGAAAAAAAAGAAAAAGGTTATAACTAACAAAAGAAAAACTATATACAAAAGTACAATGACTATATACAATATATACAAGTAATAAATGTCTAAACAATGTCTAGTCCATTTGTATTTGACAAATTCAGAGAAAATAATTTCATTATCTATCCTATTTTGTTAAGTCCAAAATGTATCTAATTCACTTTCTATCCTAATTAATCTTCAACTATAACTAACTAACCTTCAACTATAACTAACTAATCTTCAACTCCCTCAGAGACCCAAGAAGGAAATAATATTAGCTAACAAAAATAAAAACAGAAAGTGCATGCAAGCAACTTCCAAAAAATTTGTGAGTTGACAGAAACAGCCAGCTGCCTGGACAGTCACCTGAGACATGTCGGCTCCTGGCAGTACCAATCTACTTCAGAGAAAATATGGGCATTGAAGAAACTGCATATGGAGTTAACTTTCATTGTGGCAAAAGTTAGCCACTGGACAACAAAGTATCCTTGAATCAACTGCTGACAAAATGGACAGACAGGACATGAAACAAAGGACTACTGATTCTTGCCAAAACGAGTGTGGTTATGGCTTTATCAAAAGGCATCTTCTGAGGCCAGGACAATATGGCACCATCCCTGAAGTGGCCTTCGCAATTTGGAAAAGGTACAGTGCCCTTTTCTTCGAAGGCAGCTGAATAGGCAGTGGGCCGATGGCTTCTGATGTGCAATGGAACAGCAGCTGAAACAGTTATTCTTTTATATGGTTTTTAAGTGTCAAGGATCTGAGGAAAATTTGCACAACAGTGAAGAAGAGTTGCTATTATTAACCTCATAGTAGTTTTATTCAGAACAAAAAAACTAAATAGTGTAGAAAAATTCTAGGAGCACACAATTATACACATTTATAAAAACTCATTTCTAAAGATATTTTAGTAAAGTTTATATTGAGAGAAAATAGATACAGTTTAAGTATATTAATTGGGAATTAGTTAAGTAAAATATAAATATAACCCATTTGTTAAATAAAATTAAAATATTTGTGAAAACATATAACAACCAATGAGGGTATAAATAGCAGTAAGTTATTAAACATGACTTGGTAAACTATAACCATATTGAATACATATGAAACATGCATGGTTAAAGTGTTGATGAATGCATATTTGATGGTGATAGAATTTCTAATACTATGTTTCTGTCTGTCATTTTAAAGTCTCTATTTTAACACATAGTAAGGTTTCTACAGTAGATAGTATGAAAATAAACAAACATGAGTTTTTCAATCTATACCCACCGTCCAAGACGGTCAGCCAGAGCAATGGCATGCGTGAGTATAAAAGTGGGTGTGCTTTACCTTTGCGGTGTAGTACTCTCTGACTTCAGGCCTAATAGAATCAAAGTCCCCACTGACGAATTCAGGCAAAAAGCTGAAAGAAACAGTTCCATGTAAGTTAACTAGACTGAGTCATTCATTTATGAACTTTAAAAGTACAGTTGTAAGGGCCAGAGAAAAAATTAGGACACTCGAAACAAGAGGACTGTGTTCAGAGTAAATGTGCTAGGACATCCTCCTATCACACACTCCTGGCTTCAGTGGCATGCAGTCCAACAACAAATAGATCCACATTCAACTCAAACCATCAGCATTCATTGTTTCAAACAAATAGATACTGATGAAGGCAACTGGTTAACCAAAAACAAACAAACAAAAAACGCAAAAAAACTCAACTAAAATGTTCTAACACAAACACTTTCCCCACTTCCCTATTAACTTCTCACTATATATAGATCTTAACACCACTTAACTCTCACACAAACTTTCAATGGATTTGAACAGAGTGAACATGTGACCAAGTTAGTTCAAACACATTTTCCAAACAATGACATATTTCTAAAAATAAGAGTCTTCCAGAGAGGCTTAAAATACTCATATGAAGACCAGGGTTGGTTTGTTGTTGTTTCCATCCATGGCTCAGCAGATAAAAGTGCTTGTCATCATGCCTGAGGATCTGATTTCCATCTCCAGGACAGATGTGGTGGAAGGGGAGAACGGCCATGGTGTGTTTGCCCTTCCCCCAAACTAGTCAACTACTCAATCAATGTACCTTATAAAAGAACCCCAGCTTTTATACAGGAAGAGACTCTCAAATGTGGAATTTCTTGGGATATTGAAAATTACTTTAATACACGTTCCTGTTTTGTTCAGCTCATTTTAAAAAATCTATTTAACTCTAATCTTTATAAGTCATCATTTATTTTGCATAAAGTACTTTACATGGCTTGAGAATTTCTCTGCCCCACTTAATACCTCTAACCATGGAGGGAAAAATGACCCTGGATTTTCCAGTGCTCTAGCAGAGAATGAGACAGGAGTCTCCCATAGCTGAGGAATGCACAGTAAAGAAAAAATGCGTATTTTCAGATCCTATTAAAATACTATTCATAGAACAGGATAACTAGATCAGTACACATTTGTTTAATTAGTTATCTGATTCAAAGAAATAACAACACCTTTGTAACACTGGCTTACCTCTATAGGTATTGCATGTGGGGGAGCCCCAGAACTGGGAGATCAGTCTAGGTCATAATAGCAAAGACCTCAGCGGTCTTCTTCTGGCTCTGAAGAGATTCTACTCAGAAACCAAAGCGTTAGAGGCAGGTCCACATAATCCTCAAGGAGACCTTTCCCAGGGGCAAGGGACACAGCTGCCATTTTTCACTTAATTGGTAGAGAAATAAAACCACATTTTATTTTCTTTACCCACAGTGTGCCAACAACCAGCAGTAGGCAACTGACCTGGCTTTCAGCACATGGGCTGAGGTTTAAAACCAGAACAATCATATAGTAAGAAATACAACTCACAACACCTTATGTGTGCATTCAAGATAAAACTAGTAAAAATGGAATGATAAAATAACCTTGTCTCTTATACTATTTTGTAGCTCTTAATTCAACTAGAAACCTAAGAAAATTATTTCTTAGGTCAAGCCTAATCTGACTGAGATGGTTTGTGCCAATTTACCCTGAAGTTACACAACTTCCTCTGACTACATGGTAAGAGGAAGGTGTATGACAATGTAGTCCACATAGTGCAGTGCATGGTGGGACATGCCTGGAGCTCAGTACTGGGAGACTGAGGAAGGAAGACAGGGAGTAAAATGGGTTATAAAAGGAGATTCTATCACAAAAACCAACAGCTGAGGCCATGGCTCAACGGGAGGGTACTTGCCCAGCATGCTGGAAGCCCTGGGTTCAATTCTCAGTATCAATAAACAAATAAAAAGCAATAACCTGCACCACATATATAATGTGGGTGAATGAGAATCAATTGCTTGCTGTTCATTACTCACTCATGATCTATTCACTGCATGACTGGGTACTTAGGCTGCTTCAAGATGAGATAGAAAGGAAACAGACTTGGGTTTTAATTGGTTCCAACAGTCTTCCTATAATTTTTCTTTCTCCCTACTTCCTTGGTCACTGTGTACATTATTTCACTTTTTTCTTTACTTGTTTTCTGGTTAAATAAATTTATATACTTTCAAAGTTGCTTTCAAAACCTTCAACTGGACACTCTTTTGCCGTATATAAATGAATACTTTTTTAGAACACAGAGGATCTGGAAAGGGTAAAAGGGATCATTTCTCTAATTTCGTCCCTTATCTCTACAGAGCTGCGATCAAACCAAGTGAATATATGAGCAGCGCCCAGCCCACTTCACTGTGCACAAAAGCCACTTCAGCTGAGGGCTCCCATCTGTATCACTGTTTCAAGCAAACTTCCTAATGAGACTCACTTTGTATTACTCTCCAACTTGTAGTCCCTTAGATATCTAGAAACAATTTGGCAGTTTCCAAATAGTGTATTGATTTTGATAATAAATAAAAACGAAAAATAAAAGTTGATACGCCCAGGCTGATGAGCATCTGTCCCGTAGGATAGATCATCTTTAAAAGAGAATTAGATTTCCTTTTATCTAACACAAAAAATAATCTAAGAAAGCAATCATCTGAATTCATTTATATTTTATGCAAACTATTAATGGGAAACAAAATTATATAGATAAATGACAACTGACTTTAGCTACCTTTTAATATATTTTTCTCCATGTAACATAAATGACACATTCCTATTAAATAAATATGGTTATTTCTAAGAAGACTAATGCCCAAAATAACCTGGCATTCATGCTTAGATGACTAAGATTGTTATAAGTTTCCACCATAAAACACAATTTATGGAACTTCCTGAATTGTACTTTTTTATGTTGTAATTAAAAGTCCATTGCACATGTTATCCAATGCCTGTTACCATGGCACCTGGGCACTCTGAAGGCATTTCCGGGGATGACACTGCACAGATGTAGAGGAGTTATGTTATGACATAAATGACAGTTCACACAAGAAAATTATTTTAGGCTGACTACACTTATCTGCTGACTGCAGGGACAGAGATTTTCATAGCCCCTGACTCCATCTGTCTACTCTAGAAATGGATCCAAATAACATACTTGTTATTTTCAGTCTACAGCAGGTGACTTATTATTAAAAGATGTCTAAAATTTCTCACCCAACAGAACTACAACTCATCACACATCACTTATCAGTGACAAAGAGTCCAAAAAGAGCTGAGATAATTGATGGGTTAATGGCCCACCACATATAATCACCAAGGAGGCTGATACTTGTAGGAAACATAAAACATGAAGAAATGCAATCTTTCAAAATCCCTTTCCCAGTAATTATGTGGGTAGCTATCCCTCCAGAAAGTCCCCTCTGCTTTCTGCCTCCGAGGAAAATGCTACTCCTCCTTTAAAACTCAAATAGCATGAAATCTCTCACAGGTAACAATTCTCCATGTCTTTTACCTTCTGGTAGAGGACAAGTCTTTGAAGCAGGAGTAACTAAGTAACCTTGGTGTTCTTCAAAGCAGCAAGCACACAGATGCTGATAATGGCACAATAAGGTGAAGATGAGGAGAAGAAAACAGTGCGGGGGAGGACAGAAGCATAAGAAAAAGCAAGGATGAAAGAGAGAAAAGAGAAAGCAGGAAGAACAAGGTACAGGCTCCTTTCTTCAGCCTCTGAGATGGAAATTTGCTCACTGTTCATATCTGGATGGACATGTGGCCATCTTGCTGAATAATGACTTTGCAACGTAGCGTATTCCATTGGCAACAGGCCACTTGGGTAAGAGACCACAGAGCACTACAGGCATGGTTCCAGTATCTATAATAGATAGATATCTCAGCTCAGGCTCTAAATGCTCATGGCTGGTTAAAATGTGGGGAATGATCTTTTATTTTTGGCCTATACTCTCCACTTTTCCCACCTGACAGATCAGGAAGGCCAGGTTATTGACAAGGGAGATGATCCACCTTCCGGAGCTGCTTCTGGGCAGAGTAGATGCCAGGGAGCCTTAATTTATTTGGGTTGGCTGCTGCATGGTCAAAGGAATATAAGCAGAGGAGGCAGAGCACTTTGCAGAGAGAAGGGAGTGGCTCCTCCTAGAGGATGAAGGCTAGACTGACATTTGGAAAGAGAGATCTTCAGTGCTGGACACAGGTGTAGATGGCACCAGAAGTGTTGGGGCCCCTGAGACAATACCTTGGGGCTTACTGACCTGTAATCTTTGCTCTGATGTTCTTCAGTGGTTTCCTATCAGGCAGATATGGCAGGACTTTTCTCCCTCCTACAGGCTATTGGGTAGCACTGGGTTTCCCCTCCAGATGGGGAGGACACTGTCATAAGAGTTGGGGTCTGTCTATCTCTACTTCTTCAGAGCAAGGCTTATAGACACATATTGCCAGGCTTGGCATTCTACATGGATGATGGGGATAAAACTCATGCTCTAATGCTTGCATAGCAAGCACTTTACCCCTCTAAATTATATATTATTCATAAATTATATTTAATAGTAAACATACAAGTAACTTCTAAATATTTTATAGTGTGGACACAACATAAAACTTGAAGACAAGATGCTTCCCTCTGTAGTTGTGAAACAGGCTGTCTATCTATAGCCCAAACTGACCCTGAACTCAGTTTCCTACCTCAGACTCCTCACTGCTGGAATTATATCTGACACTCAGTTAAAAACATGCATTTTAGAAGAGCTTCGTGATGGAATTACATTATAATTCAAAACGTGAATCAGCACCCAAATGTTATAAAAGAGATCAATTATTCTTGGAAATGGTATTTAACACTGACTTTATAATCATGTATTTAATCAAAAATTTTCTTGCTCAGTATGATGTCTGCTAAGACACTATTACACCAAGCATTGTGTGTGCTGTCAGAGTGGCTTTCTGCCTTCCCAGGGCTGCCAGGTGATTATTAAATGGGTCATGTGAGGTGTTGCTGCTGACCATGACACGTGAGAATGGACTTTCTAGGCATGAAGGAAAAGGCAGCGTCTGCTGACA